CGCCTTCCCAATTTACAACAAAATACGGAACAAGGAAAAAGTGTTTTCCCAATTTACACCCAAATATGGAACAAAGAAAAAACTGTTCTCTTAATTTACACAGAAATATGGAAGCAGGAAAAGCTGTTTTCCCAATTTTCTCCAAAATATGGAAGCAGGAAAAGCCGTTTTTCCCAATTCTCTCCAAAATATGGAATTAGGAAAAACTGTTTTCCCAATTTATACCAAAATACGGAACAAGGAAAAACAGTTTTTCCCAATTTTTCTCCAAAACATGGAAGCAGGAAAAGCTGTTTTCCCAATTTTTCTCCAAAATCTGGAAGCAGGAAAAGCAAACTTTGGGCTAAAGCAGCACTGGAGGGTCTTGGAGCCCTTGGGATCCTCCTGGAACGTTCATCCCGTCAGGAGAGCTTTGGGATGGGGGGCTCCAGAGGAGGAAAAGCTGGATCTTCTGCAGGGAATGGAGAGGAGCCTCCTGGCTCAGGGCAGAGATTCCCAGATTTCCCCTGGGATCTGTGGAGAAGGAAAAGGAGAGCCCAGGTTGCCACAAGGTTCAAATAATCCTTAGTTTTGGCTTTCCAGCCCCTTTTCCTCCGGTCCTGGTCCAGCGGGAATTCTTCGTTCCCCGCGCCGACACTTCGGAATTTGAATTAAATTAAAAAAAAAAACTCCGGGAAATGAAGCCACATTCCCATTTCCAGGAGCTGACGGGGCCATTCGGAGAATCATGGGATGCTTTGGGTGGGAAGGGAGCTTAAAACTCATGGAATTCCATGGAATTCCAACCTCCCACTTTCCCAGGTTGCTCCAGCCTGGCCTGGGACACTTCCAGGGCTGGGGCAGCCACAGCTTCTCTGGGAATTCCAGCCCAGCACTCGAGCCTCGGTTGGATCCTTGTGCTGAGATTCCAGGGAGACACGTCCGGGAGATGTGGGAGAACTGGTGAGAATCCCGAGGGAAGCGGAAAAGCCGAAGAGTGAAGGTTTCAAACACGTCACCGGAGCGGGCCCAGGGTCAGGGGTCGTTCCCTGTGCCCTTTTCCTGGAGGATTGGGAAGAAAAATGTCTGGAGCTGAGGGACCAGTTCCCTCCTGGGCCAGCACCAGCCAGGGCTTGGATTCATGGGATGGGATCCTTCTCCTCCTTCTCCTTTTTCCTTCTCCTCCTTTTTCCTTCTCCTCCTTTTTCCTTCTCCTCCTTTTCTCTTTTTCCTTCTCCTTTTTCCTTCTCCTTCTCCTTTTTCCTTCTCCTTCTCCTTTTTCCTTCTCCTTTTTCCTTCTCCTCCCTTTTCCTTCTCTTTTTTCTTTTCCTTCTCTTTCTCCTTTTTCCTTCTCCTTTTTCTTTTTCCTTCTCCTTTTTCCTTCTCCTTTTCCTCTTTCCTTCTCCTCCTTTTTCCTTCTCCTTCTTCCTTCTCATTCTCCTCCTCCTTCTCCTTTTTCCTTCTCCTCTTTTTCCTTCTCCTTCTTCTTTCTCATTCTCCTCCTCCTTCTCCTTTTTCCTTCTCCTTCTCCTCCTTGTTTTTCCTTCTCCTTCTTCTCTTTTTTTCCTTCTCCTTTTTCCTTCTCCTTTTTCCTTTTCCCCTCACCACTCTCCCAGCCAATTCCCAATATTCCATCTTCCCCTCTGGCACCGGGAAGCCATTCCCTGTGTCCTGTCCCTCCATCCCTTGTCCCAAATCCCTCTCCAGCTCTCCTGGAGCCCCTTTAGGCCCTGCAAGGGGCTCCAAGGTTTCCCTGGAGCTTCCCTTTTCCAGGCTGGACATTCCCAACTCTCCCAGTCTCCATTATTTGGAGGACACTCGGAGAAACAACCAAGGCCAGTCCCCTTCTTTCTGTTCAGGGCTGTAAATAAATCCAATATTCCGGCTCATGGTGTGGATTGGCCTCTGGCCCACGGGGTGCAAGGACCTTTTTTTGGGATAACAGTCATGGAAGAAATGCTCCAGATCCCTGGGAGACGGGGGCACCTGGACCAGGCTGGGCTGGGGACAAGGAATGGGGGCAGCTGGACCAGGGTGGGGTGGGGACAGGTGTAAGAAAAATCCTTTTCCATTTAGAAAGACAGCATAAAATCACGAAAGAAAGGATTTATTCAGCGTGCTGGGTCTGGTCTCACACCGAGTTTTCAGGGAGAAAAGACCCCTTGGGCATACAACTCATACATTTTATAGTGTCACAAAATCCCACCATTTTTCAGAGAAGTTTCATAGATTCGTTTTTGCCTAGAAAGGTTTCTTTTCTCTGAAAAAGAGGCTTTCCCTTCCTTCTGATTTTTTTAGGTAAAAAAAAAGAGGCTTTCCCTTCCATCTGATTTTTTTAGGCAAAAAGAAAGAGGCTTTCCCTTCCTTCTGATTTTTTTTTAGGCAAAAAAAAAGAGGCTTTCCCTTCCTTCTGATTTTTTTAGGAAAAAAAAAAGAGGCTTTCCCTTCCTTCTGATTTTTTTAGGAAAAAAAAAAAGAGGCTTTCCCTTCCTTCTGATTTTTTTAGGGAAAAAGAAAGAGGCTTTCCCTTCCTTCTGATTTTTTTAGGCAAAAAAAAAAAAGAGGCTTTCCCTTCCTTCTGATTTTTTTTAGGCAAAAATGAGTATATTAAACTTATCTGAAAAATGGTGGGATTTTGCGAAACTATAAAACGTATGGAATTTAAATCAAAAGGGGCTTTTCTCCCCGAAAAACTCGGTGTGAGACTAGACCCAGCGCGCTGAATGAATTCTTTCTTTTCTTTCAGGAGTTTACGCCGTCTTTCTAAATTTAAAAGAGGAATTTTTCCCGCAGCTGAGAGCTGGAGCAGGTCGGGCTGGGGACGTGGCAGGGGCTGGACGGGGTTGTGGAAGGAACAAGGTCTGGGCACAGTTAGACCGGGCTGGGTTGGGAACAGAGACTGCGATCGGGGTGACCAGGCTGACATGGGCACAAGGGACAGTTGGCCCGGGCTGTGCTGGGCTCGGGCTCAGGCTCAGGCTCGGGTTCAGGCCTAGGCCCAGGCTCAGGCCCCGGCTCAGGCCCAGGCTCAGGCCTAGGCCCAGGCTCAGGCCTAGGCCCAGGCCTAGGCCCGACTTAGGCCGCGCCGTCCCGGCGCCGTTGCCGGGCAACGGCCGCGCGCGCCACGTGACCGCTCTCGAGACGGTCACGTGGCCTCGGGGCGGCGCCGGTTGATGACGTCACGGCGGGGAGCGGTACCGGGATGGCGGAACGGGAACGGCTGTGCCGGGAAATCCGAGCGCTCCAAGGTATGGGAATACCGGGAATACCGGGGATGGGAACGGCTGTGCCGGGAAATCCGAGCGCTCCAAGGTATGGGAATGCCGGGAATACCGGGGATGGGAACGGCTGTGCCGGGAAATCCGAGCGCTCCAGGGTATGGTAATACCGGGAGTAGTCGGGAATACCGGGGATGGGAACGGCTGTGCCGGGAAATCTGAGCGCTCCAAGGTATGGGAATACCGGGGATGGGAACGGCTGTGCCGGGAAATCCGAGCGCTCCAAGGTATGGGAATACCGGGAGTACCGGGGATGGGAACGGCTGTGCCGGGAAATCCGAGCGCTCCAAGGTATGGGAATACCGGGAGTACCGGGGATGGGAACGGCTGTGCCGGGAAATCCGAGCGGTCCAGGGTATGGTAATACCGGGAATAGCCGGGAATACCGGGGATGGGAACGGCTGTGCCGGGAAATCTGAGCGCTCCAAGGTATGGGAATACCGGGAATAGTCGGGAATACCGGGGATGGGAACGGCTGTGCCGGGAAATCCGAGCGCTCCAAGGTATGGGAATACCGGGAATAGCCGGGAATGGATCCGAGTCCTGCGGGAGGAACGGGGAATTAGGGAGGAACCGGAGAGGATCCCAGATTCCCAGATTGGGAAGGGGAAGGGCTGGGCAGCGCCCAGAGGGTGATGGAAGTGGAGAGGGAGGGGAGCCATGAGTGGTGGGAAAAGGGGGAAGGGATCCGGGAATGCCGGGAGAAGGGAGGAAGGGAGAGGATCCAGGAGTGCTGGGAGAAGAGGGAAGTGACCCAGGAATGCCGGGAGAAGGGGGGAAGGGAAGGGAGAGGATCTGGGAGTGGTGGGAAAAGGGAGAAGGGGAAGGAAGAGGATCCAGGAGTGCTGGGGGAAAAGGGGAAGTGATCCAGGAGTTCTGGGAGAAGGAGGAGAAGGGAGAGGATCCAGGAGTGTTGGGAGAAGGAGTGAGGAGAAGGGAGAGGATCCAGGAGTTCTGGGAGACTGGGGAAGTGAACCAGGAATGCCGGGAGAAGGTGGGAAAGGACTCAGGAGTTCTGGGAGAAGGAGTGAAGGAAAGGGAGAGGATCCAGGAGTGCTGGGAGAAGGGGGAAAGGGGAGGCAGAAGATCTGGGAGTACTGGGAGAAGAGGGAAGTGACCAGGAATGTTGGGAGAAGGGGAAGGGAGAGGATCCAGGAATGTTGGGAGAAGGGGGAAGTGATCCAGGAGTTCTGGGAGAAGGAGGAAGGGGAAGGGAGAGGATCCAGGAGTGTCGGGAGAAGGGGGAAATGATCCAGGAATGCTGGGAAAAGATGGGAAAGGACCCGGGAGTTCTGGGAGAAGGAGTGAGGAGAAGGGAGAGGTTCCAGGAGTGTTGGGAGAAGGAGAAAGGGAAGGGAGTGGATCCAGGAATTCTGGGAGAAGGGGGAAATGGAGAGGATCCAGGGGTTTTGGGAGAAAGGGAAAGAGAAGGAAGAGGATCCAGGAGTTCTGGGAGAAGGGGGAAAGGGAGAAGATCCAGGAGTGTTGGGAGAAGGGGGAAAGGGAAGGAGTAGGATCCAGGAGTTCTGGGAGAAGGGGGAAGGGGAGAGGATCCAGGAGTGTTGGGAGAAGGGGAAAGGGAAGGAATAGGATCCAGGAGTTCTGGGAGAAGAGGGAAAGGGAGAAGATCCAGGAGTGTTGGGAGAAGGGGAAAGGGAAGGAAGAAGATCCAGGAGTTCTGGGAGAAGGGAGAAAGGGAGAAGATCCAGGAATGCTGCGAGAAGGGGAAAAGGAAGGGAAAGGATCTGGGAGTTCTGGGAGAAGGGGGAAAGGGAAGGGAAAGGATCCAGGAGTTCTGGGAGAAGGGGGAAGGGGAGAGGATCCAGGAGTGTTGGGAGAAGGGGAAAGGGAAGGAAGAGGATCTGGGAGTTCTTGGAGAAGAGGGAAAGGGAGCAGAGCCAGGAATGCCGAGGGAGGGAACAGAGCCCACAGAGCGCTGGGCGGGAGTTGGAATTCCCACCCTGCTGCTCCCTGAAGGATCTGGGATCCCCCTGGCTTTGGGAAGGGAGTATTCCCTGTGCCCCTGGCCCTCCATCCCTTCATCCTCAGCATGGAAGGGGTGGATCCATGGAAGGGGTGTATCCATGGGATCAGTGGATCCATGGGATCAGTGGATCCATGTGCTCTTCCCAAGCTCCGCAGAGCACCGGGATTATTTTTTTAGCACCGATTCCTTCTATTTTTATCCCTCCAATTAATTTTTTCCTCCTTTGTGAGGCCACAACTTCCCCTTCCTCGGGATTTGGGAATCGCCTCCCTCCAGGAGCTCCCACGTGGGGGAGGGAGGAGAAGCAGGAAAACACAGTCCTTGGTTTTTCCAGGAGGAATGTGCTGACTCTGCTCCTCCGGCAGCTCCGGAGGAGGAGGAAAAACTTCCCTGCCTGAAGTGCCAGGCACCAAAATCCTTTGGGAATCACTCCTGGGAAAGGTTTTCTCAACACTGAGGCCGGACAAAGGCAGAACCTTCGGAATGAACGGGGATTTATGATCCAAGTGGGGTTTTTTTAGTGGATCGAAGCGCTGGGAAGAGGTAGTGGATTCCAGAGGGATTCAACAGTGAAGTCTTGGAGTTTTTCCTTGAAGGGAACGGAGCTGGGAAGGGGCTGGAGCACTGGGAATGGCTGAGGGAGCTGGAGGGGGCTCATCCTGGAGAAAAAAAGAGGGATTGGGGGGACCTTCTCACTCCCTACAATTCCCTGACAGGAGGGAGGAGCCAGGTGGGATTTGGGATCACTCCCAGGGAACAAGGGGCAGGACGAGAGGGAACGGCCTCAAGTTGTGCCAGGGGAGGGTCAGGTGGGATATTGGGAAAAATTCCTTCCTGGAGAGGGTTGTAAAGCATTGGGAGAGGCTGCCTGGAGTCACCATTCCTGAGGGGAATTATCCCTGTGGATGTGGCACTGGAGGACGTGGATCGGGGGTGGCCTTGGAAGCGCTGTGGGAATGTTGGACTCCGTGGGCTCAGAGGGGTTTTCCAACCTCACCGATCCCGGGTTTGTGTTTGGGAATGGCAGGAGGGACAGGACACAGGGAATGGCTTCCCAGGGTTAGATGGGATATTGGGAAGGAATTCTTCCCTGGGAGGGTGGGGAGAGGCTGGGATGGAATTCCCAGAGAAGCTGTGGCTGCCCCATCCCTGGAATTGTCCCAGTCCAGGTTGGAGCAACCTGGGATAGTGGGAGGTGTCCCTGCCTGTGGAAGGTGGGGGGAATTCCATGACCTTCAAGATTCCAACCCAAATCATCCTCTACCCATTCCCTGGACGAAAAAGGGCTTTACTTTTCCTGGTTTGCCAGGACACAGGGAATGGCTTCCCACTGCCAGAGGGTTGGATGGGATACTGGGAAGGAATTCTTCCCTGGGAGGGTGGTGAGTGACTGGACTGGAATTCCCAGAGAAGTTGTGGCTGCCCCATCCCTGGAAGTGTCCAAGGGGAGGTTGGAGCAACCTGGGATAGTGGGAGATGTCCCTGCCCATGGAAGGCGATGGAATTCTGTGATCTTTCCGCTCCCTTCCCACCCAAACCATTCCACGATTCCATGACTTTTCCTTCCGCCGTGGCTTATCCAAACCCAAACGGGAGCCTGTCGTTTCCGGCTCCCAAATTCCCGCGGGATCGAGGGATTCACAACCCTCTGTCTCCTCCTTCCCAGGTCTCATCAACAGCCACAGGAACATCCACGGGGATGCTCCGCGGCCGCTTCCAGCGGCGCCTCCCAGGTGGAACAACCCCCGGAGCGCCGCCTACGGCCAGAGGGGAGCGTTTTCCAGGAATTTCCAAGCTCCCAGGAATTTCCACCCACGCCAGACTCACTCCTGGAGGAAGAAATACTCCCTGGACAACCGGCTGCCGGGATCGACCTCCGAGGTTGGAAGCGCTTCCGGCACATCCCGGGTTTTCGGGAGCTACGGGGACAACCCGGCTCCGGAGCCTCCGGAATCGTCGCCGGAGAGACACGTGGATTTCACCACGGATGGGAACATCGTTGTGGGCATCCAGGTGCCACAGAGGGCTGGAGACGCGGGAGCTTCCGGGGAGTTTTCCGGGCGGGAAGCGGCGGTGGCTCCTTTGGGCGATGGGAAAAGTATCCTGGAATCTCCGTACCCGGAAGAGAGAAGACCTTCCCTGTCCATATCCTTTAGTTCCACGTCCAGGACCGTGTGTCTGCCTGGAAGTGTGGCTGGAAGCAGCTTTTCCCCCTCTGGAAGCGGCAGCGAAAGCGCCGTGACGCTGAAATCGGAGCCGCAGGAGCCTTTGGAATTTCCGGGTCGGGAGCCGGCCGGGAATTCGGGACGGATCAAAGCGGAGCCGCCGTCTCCGGGGCAGAGCTGTGAGGAAGTCAAGGACGCTTCCCTGCTCCCCAAACTCTTTGGGAATGCCAAGGACGCTTCCCTGCTCCCCAAACTCTTTGGGAATGCCAAGGTGCCCTCTCCGCCCGCTCAGCTCGGGGTGACTCCGGGGAAGAGCAGATTTCCCGTCATTCCCAAATCTCCCGTCTCCAGCAAAGCCCCGAAATTCCGCAAGAACAACTACACCTGGGTGGCAAATCCCGGGAAAAGCTGCCGGCTGGTGAGGAGGTGGGGGAGCCCCCGAGCCGAGAATTCCAGGAAAGGCCTCGGGGGGACGGAAAGAGGAGCCAAAACATCCCCCAGGGCGGATTTGGGAGCCAAGGCGAAAAAATCGGGATTGCAATCCAAGCTGGGGGGGGTCTCTCCCAGCAAATACAAGTGGAAAGCCTCCAGCCTGCCGGCCCTGCCTTCCACTTCCAAGTCGGCATTCCGCTGGAGGTGCGAGGATCACAGGAAGCCTCCCGACATTCCGTGTCCCGGAAGCGCTCCCGCGGCTCCGAGCGCCGCTTCCGCGGGTCTCGGAGCGGGGAAATCCTTTGGAGAGGCCCCGTTATCCAGTTATAAAGTGAAGAGTCGGACCAAGATCATCAAGAGGAAAGGGAACGGGGGGTGAGTCCGGGGGGTTTTTCCAACCGGGCGCCGTCGGAAAACGCCGGGTGGATTTCGCGTCCGCGGGATTCGTGGGAGTTGCGGCTGTGGAATTCTGACAAATTTTAGGATTTGTATATTTAGAATTTATGTATTTTATAGAATTTATGTTTATAGAATTGTGGAATGGTTTGGGTGGGAAGGGAGCTTAAAGATCATGGAATTCCACCCCTGACACCTCCCACTATCCCAGGTTGCTCCAACCCGGCCTTGGACACTTCCAGGGATGGGGCAGCCACAACTTCTCTGGGAATTCCATCCCAACCCCTCCCCACCCTCCCAGGGAAGAATTCCTTCCCAATATCCCATCTAACCCTGGGAAACCATTCCTTGTGTCCTGCCCCTCCATCCCTTTTCCCAAGTCCGTCTCCAGCTCTCCTGGAGCCCCTTTAGGCCCTGGAAGGGGCTCCAAGGTTTCCCTGGATCCTTCCCTTCTCCAGCCTGGATATTCCCAGCTCTCCCAACCTGTCTCCAGCCCTTGGAGCATCTCCGTGGCCTCCTCCAGACTCGCTCCAGCAGCTCCACATCCTGCTGCTGTTGGGAATCCACAGTTGGATCCTGTGATTCCCTGAGGCCTCCGACACCTCCTCTCTCAGCACAGGAAGCTGCGTTTTGTTGGATTTATTTTCCAATTTATTTTCCCATTCCCATAAAATTTTGGGGCTTGGGAAAAACGGGAGAAGTGTCTTGGATCGTTGTCTGTCCCTGTAAAGCCCTGGGATGGAGCAGGAATGGGAGATGAGCTCAGCATTCCAGGAAGAAGCACCATCCACGGTATTTTCCTCCCTGTGTTCTTTCCACCTGGAAAATTGCTCCAGGTGATGCAGTAATCCATGGAATGGATTGGGAATCTGGTGCCTGGATTCCAGCTCCTCAGTGTTTTCCCAGGGGTTTCCATCCTTCCCTTTCCCTTGTTTTGCTGGGAAAACTGGATGTGGGTGGATTGTGCTGGGAAAATCACTCTGGAGCAACGTGCCTGGAAAAGCTGGGAATGTTTGGATTTTTTGGCAGTTGGAGACTCCCTCCATCTTGCTCAAGTCCAGCAGGACCAGGGGAGGGATCCTGGATCATCCCCCTGTGCTGGGCACTGAGGAGGCCCCCGAAATCCTGGGATTTTGGGGTTCCCAGGTCCAGGCTCTTGAGGGATTGGAGCGTGTCCAGGGAAAGGAACGGAGCTGGAAAAGGGTCTGGAGCAGCAGGAGCAGCTGAGGGAGCTGGGGGGGCTCATCCTGGAGAAAAGGGGGATCAGGGGGGACCTTCCTGCTCCTTATAATTCCCTGACAGAGGGGGGAACCAGGTGGGATTTGGGATCACTCCCAGGGAACAAGGAATGGGACGAGAGGAAACGACCTCAAGCCGAGCCAGAGGAGGTTTAGTGGGATATTGGGAAAAATTCCTTCCTGGAAAGGGTGATCAGGCACTGGCCCAGGCTGCCCTGGAGGGATGGAACATCCCTGTGGATGTGACACTTGGGGACACGGATCAGGGGTGGCCTTGGAATCCTGTGGGAATGATTGGACTTGATCTCAGCGCTCTTTTCCAACCAAAATGATTCCACAATTCCCCGATTCCACGATTCCGTCCCTCACATCTGTTGGTCTGAAGGCAACGTGTGAGTTTGGCTCTCAAATCCCTCCTTCTCCGGCTGTTCTTTGCCAGAAATTCCTCCCATTTCCCAATTTACTTGGAATTTTCCCCTCAGAGCTTCTCCCCCTCGTCCGGAGGAGCCGCGCGATGGGATTCCGGTGTCTCCTCTTTTCCCTGGAACTCTGGAGAAGGACACTGGGTGTGGGAATGATTGGATTTGATCTCAGAGCTCTTTTCCAACCAAAATGATTCCACAATTCCCCGATTCCACGATTCCATCCCTCACATCCATTGGTCAGAAAGCAACACCTGAGTTTGGCTCTCAAATCCCTCCTTCTCCGGCTGTTCTTTGCCAGAAATTCCTCCCATTTCCCAATTTACTTGGAATTTTCCCCTCAGAGCTTCTCCCCCCTCATCCGGAGGAGCCGCGCGATGGGATTCCGGTGTCTCCTCTTTTCCCCGGAGCTCTGGAGAAGGAGCGTTTTGCTCACCTTTCCCCTCCTTCCTAACCCTGTGACCCTTCCCATTCCCAGTTTCCCGACGGAGAAGAAGAACGTCTCGCCCGGCGCGGCCCTCAAGAGCCGCTTCCACCTCCGGAGGAAAAATTCCGCGCGGGGAAAACCTTCGGCGACTCCGAAACGCTCCTCTCCCAGGATCCTGGTCCAGGTCTCCAGGCACAGGCTCCGCAGGATTCCGGCCGCCAGGAATCCACAGGGGGCCCCCAAGGAAGGTAGGAACAGGCATTCCAAAGGCTCCCTGAAGTGCTTCCAAGGCTCTTGGATTTGGGAATGTGTTGTTGGGCCTGGAGCAAACGCCGAGGGGACGTTTGACTCCTCCCTTCTCCCAGATCCATCCCGGGCTTTGGCGTCTCCAGACAAAGGAATTTTCAGGCTGTTCCTTGCTTTTCATGTGGTTTTCCTGGACTTTCAGGTGTCCAATGGGAAGGTATTCCAGGAGGGAAGCGGTTGGCAGAGGCAGGAATCCATAATCTTTTCCCTGTGTCCGGTTTTTATGTCCCATTTTGGATTTCATTTGCTGAAACCTGCAATAATTCGAGGGATAACGAGTCCATTTGTTTGGGAACTGGGAATTTGCATCCCTATCCGGCTGCCTTGGGTTGGGAATTCTCAGTGCGGCGTTCGAGAGCCGCTCTGACATTCCGTGGGCGTGGAATGTTGTCGGGAACGTTTGCGGCTCCGGGTTGGGTTCGGCCGTTCCGTAGGGACAATTTTGTGGACAGGAGGCTTCTCCCACCTGGAATGTGGTTGTTTTGGATGGATGTGGAGCACGTTTTCCCTGTGTGCCAGTGGGAATTGCTGGGACAGGGATTCGGATTCTGATGTGTCTCCAGAGATATTTTGGGATGACGGTTATTTTCCGTTCCAATCGCTGCTCTGGGATGTTGTATTTTCCTGGACGAGGGACTTGGGACAAGGCCTGGAGCGACAGGATAACAGGGAATGACTTCCCACTGCCAGAGGGTTAGATGGGATATTGGGAAGGAATTCTTGGCTGGGAGGGTGGGGAGGGGCTGGGATGGAATTCCCAGAGAAGCTGTGGCTGCCCCTGGATCCCTGGAAGTGTCCAAGGCCGGGTTGGAGCAACCTGGGATAACGGGAGATGTCCCTGCCCATGGAAGGAGGGTTGGAATTCCATGATCTTTCTGCTCCCTTCCCACCCAAACCATTCCAGGATTCTGTGAAAAGACAGGAATTTTGTTGTTCAGGACAGGGAGGAGAAGCTGAAGGAATTTTCTCTCTGCATGTTTGTTTGGAGGGATTTGGGAACTCTGGGAAGAGGATTTTGGATCTGGGGCCTGGGAGAAGCGGGAGAAGGAGGAATAAGTTGGGCACTGTGGATGCTCTTCCATGATCTCCCAAACCAGAGGGGTTGGATACAGCACGAGTTTGTCTTCCATGGATAATGGTGACGTGTGGGATTGGGATCACAGCCCTTCCGTGTCCCAAAAACCATCCTCTGGGATAAATTTAGGATTCTCGCTTCCCAAACTGCTCCTTAAAGAAATCCTTCTCCTTAAAGAAATCCTTCTCCTGGAAAACTCCTTTTTAAAGGAGCGCTGAGAGCCTGGGATGAGCAGATCCCTGGAAGCTCAGGAGATTCCAGGAAATGGAGGGGAGTGCCAGTTCCAGGGATATCAACTCGGATTTGGAATCCTTGATTGAAGGGAACGGTCCCGGACTGAAAAGGTTGGGATTTTTCCCCTTGGCTAGGGATGAAAGTGAAGAAAGCAGGAATGTGGTCGTGCTCCTGGTTTTGGCAAATCGAGAAGGTTGGAGAAAGGTTTGGATTTCCCTGTGGGCAAAGTGTGGATATGGGTTGGATTTCCCTCAGGACAAGCAGGAGGGAAGTTGGGGGGATGTTCCCGGGAGACACCAGGAGCAGAGTTGGAAGGGGTTGGGAGGGACCTTAAAAACCAATTTATTTCCCTGTGTCCCAACTCAAGCTCTGGAATTCCAAGCTTGACTCCCTTTTCCTGCTTGTCCCTGTCTCCTGGTCTGTGCGTGAAAGGAATTTTTCAGGAACTTTTGGATTTGTCCCTGGGAGAGGTGGGTGGTTCCTCCTTCTAATTTGGAATCCTGGAATGGTTTGGGTTGGAAGGGAGCGGAAAGATGATGGAATTCCACCCTTCTGCCATGGGCAGGGACACCTCCCACTATCCCAGGTTGCTCCAAGCCCTATCCAGGTTGTCCTTGAACATTCCAGGCATTGGGCAGCCACAGCTTCTCTGGGAATTCTATGTGTGGATAGGGGTTGGATTTCCCTCAGGACAAGCGGGAGGGAAGCTGAGGGGATGTTCCCGGGAGACCCCGGGAGCAGAGTTGGAAGGGGTTGGGAGGGACCTTAAAAACCAATTTATTTCCCTGTGTCCCAACTCAAGCTCTGGAATTCCAACCTTGGCTCCCTTTTCCTGCTTGTCCCTGTCTCCTGGTGTGTGTGTGAAAGGAATTTTTCAGGAGCTTTTGGATTTGTCCCTGGGAGAGGTGGGTGGTTCATCCTGATTTCCAATTCTGGAATGGTTTGGGTTGGAAGGGAGCTGAAAACTCATGGAATTCCGACCCCCTGCCATGGGCAGGGACACCTCCCACTATCCCAGGTTGCTCCAAGCCCTATCCAGGTTGTCCTTGAACATTCCAGGCATTGGGCAGTTACAGCTTCTCTGGGAATTCTATGTGTGGATAGGGGTTGGATTTCCCTCAGGAGAAGCGGGAGGGAAGTTGGAGAGATGTTCCTGGGAGACACCAGGAGCAGAGTTGGAAGGGGTTGGGAGGGACCTTAAAAACCAATTTCTTTCCCTGTGTCCCAACTCAAGCTCTGGAATTCCAAACTTGGCTCCCTTTTCCTGCTTGTCCCTGTCTCCTGGGGTGTGCGTGAAAGGAATTTTTCAGGAGCTTTTGGATTTGTCCCTGGGAGAGGTGGGTGGTTCATCCTGATTTCCAATTCTGGAATGTTTTGGGTTGGAAGGGAGTGGAAAGATGATGGAATTCCGACCCCCTGCCATGGGCAGGGACACCTCCCACTATCCCAGGTTGCTCCAAGCCCTATCCAGGTTGTCCTTGAACATTCCAGGCATTGGGCAGCCACAGCTTCTCTGGGAATTCTATGTGTGGATAGGGGTTGGATTTCCCTCAGGACAAGCGGGAGGGAAGTTGGGGGGATGTTCCCGGGAGACCCCGGGAGCAGAGTTGGAAGGGGTTGGGAGGGACCTTAAAAACCAATTTATTTCCCTGTGTCCCAGCTCAAGCTCTGGAATTCCAAGCTTGGCTCCCTTTTCCTGCTTGTCCCTGTCTCCTGGTCTGTGCGTTAAAGGAATTTTTCAGGAGCTTTTGGATTTTTCCCTGGGAGAGGTGGGTGGTTCATCCTTCTGATTTCCAATCCTGGAATGGTTTGGGTTGGAAGGGAGTGGAAAGATGATGGAATTCCACCCCCCTGCCATGGGCAGGGACACCTCCCACTATCCCAGGTTGCTCCAAGCCCTATCCAGGTTGTCCTTGAACATTCCAGGCATTGGGCAGTTACAGCTTCTCTGGAAATTCTATGTGTGGATAGGGGTTGGATTTCCCTCAGGACCAGCGAGAGGGAAGTGGGTGGGATGTTCCCGGGAGACCCTGGGAGCAGAGTTGGAAGGGGTTGGGAGGGACCTTAAAAACCAATTTATTTCCCTGTGTCCCAACTCAAACTCTGGAATTCCAAGCTTGGCTCCCTTTTCCTGCTTGTCCCTGTCTCCTGGTCTGTGTGTGAAAGGAATTTTTCAGGAGCTTTTGGATTTGTCCCTGGGAGAGGTGGGTGGTTCATCCTGATTTCCAATTCTGGAATGTTTTGGGTTGGAAGGGAGTGGAAAGATGATGGAATTCCGACCCCCTGCCATGGGCAGGGACACCTCCCACTATCCCAGGTTGCTCCAAGCCCTATCCAGGTTGTCCTTGAACATTCCAGGCATTGGGCAGCCACAGCTTCTCTGGGAATTCTATGTGTGGATAGGGGTTGGATTTCCCTCAGGACAAGCGGGAGGGAAGTTGGGGGGATGTTCCCGGGAGACCCCGGGAGCAGAGTTGGAAGGGGTTGGGAGGGACCTTAAAAACCAACTTCTTTCCCTGTGTCCCAGCTCAAGCTCTGGAATTCCAAGCTTGGGAGACCCCGGGAGCAGAGCGGGAATGGAACCGGGAAGAGAAGTTCAGGAACAACATCCCATTCCTGGGATCCCGGGGGAGAGCCGGGGAGTGTCCGGGCCGAGGGTGGAAGGGCAGAGAGGAGGAAGAGGCCCTGGAATGTGGCTGGAAAAGCTGGATCAGCCCCACGGGTGTGGCTCCTGCCGGGCTGGTTTCCCGTTTGTCCCGTCCAACGGGATTTTGGGATCCGACCTTGGAATTGCTCCTCCCTTTCCCAGGCGCTCGCCCAGCTCCCGACTCTCCAATTCCCAGCCTGGATCCAACCGGATCCCGTCGATCCCAGCCATGGAGCAGCTTTTCCAGCCCAGCCTCGGGATCGGAATTTCCCCCGCTGGGAATTGCTTCCCTTTTTAGGGATCCGGGAGCCGACGGAACGGGGCGGGAGTCGCCTTGGGATTCTTTGGGAATTAATTCCAAACTCCTCCTTGGATTCAGGGCAATGTTTAAGAACCCCTTGGAAGTTGGGGAGGGTCCCAAATCCGGGTGGTTCCAATGGGATGGGGGAGCAAGGAAGTGGCTTTTGGTGGATTTTGGTGTCTTTTTGTGTCTTTTTGTGTCTTTTTTGGTCTTTTTGAATCTTTTTTGTGCCATTTTGTGCCATTTTTTTTGCGCCTTTTCGTGTCTTTTTTGTTTCTTTTTGGGTCTTTTGGTGTCTTTTTTGTGTATTTTAATGTGTTTTGGTGTCTTTTGGTGTCATTTTGAGTCTTTTTGTGCCGTTTTTATGTTGTTTTGTGCCTTTTGGTGTATTTTTGTGGTTATTTTTGTGTCTTTCTCAGCCTTTTTTGAGTCTTTTTTGTGTCTTTTAATGTGTCTTTTTGTGTCTTTTAAAGTGTCTTTTTGTATGTTTTTTTGTGCCTTTTTGTGCCTTTTTTTTGTACCTTTTTATGTCTTTTTGTGTTTCTTTTTGGTGCCTTTTTGTGCCTTTTAATGTCTTTTAATATGTCATTTAATGTGTCTTTTTGTGCCTTTTTTGTGTCTTTTTTGTTTCTTTTTGGGCCTTTTGGGATCTTCTTGGATCTTTTTGTGTCTTTTGGGGTCTTTTGGGGTCTTTTTGTGCTTTTTTGTGTCTTTTT